GTGTTGAGAAATTAAAGGGAGACTACAAGTTTACACAGTAAATATTGCTGTTAGTCTACCATGAATAATTATTTCTATCAGTCTCACATTTATGCCAACTGACTGTCAAAGTTGTTTTAAAAATGACTGGAAAATATAAATTTATAAAATCTGTTACCCTGCTAATAACAAATGTTTCTCCTATTACAGAAGATGTGTGTTGGCTTGGAACTCAACTGTCAATAGCAGTCGTCAGATTTAAAGGTGGTYTTAAATGTAAGATAAGCCTTCAAAGACTCTGGTAGTGGCAGCTTACAGATCATGGTTTCAGGAACCAAACTAAGAATTTCCATACGACAGAAATGCTGCAAGTCCATTTTAACAGGTAATTGCCAAATCCTAAGACAACTATCGTTATAACCAATAGCTATTTCATTACATGACTTAGAAAATGCAACTGAGCAAGTTTGTAAAGGGKTATCCCYATTACTACAGCTAATAGTATATAGATACTGATAAACTTCAGTGTCGTATACAATGACCTGTCCCATTGTTGTCCCAAATGCTACTAGACTGTAATCCTGACTGTATTTCATGACTACAACCTCACATGGACTTGTTACRATCTTMTTTTCRAGARAACAATRAGGTTGCCCAGGATACAGTARCCACACCCTAAATACACCTCCAGGTGTACATACYGAAAGCCTTGCGTCAGGGTGAAATGCACACAAGYAAACAGWGTTTTGTGAGGAATCACTATGTAATGCTGAATAAACCTCAAGGYTATGYGTCTTAATRATAAATACCTGACTTTGAGTTGTTGTTAGTGCAAACAGAGCACCGTCTGGTGAAAATGTACAATTGTGTATCTGSCCAGAGAAGCTATTTARAAACTGCTCACAAACCCTTTTAGATGYTTTGTACAGTGTTCTACAGGGCATGTCAACTCGCCATGTATATAGATCGTGTATYTGTCCGAATGCAGTGGGCACTTTRCTCACAGTGACTGCGACACAGCCATCAGGTGAAAAAACACAACAACACGGCCTTCCATTCATGTTTTCAACTCCAATCGACGACAAACATTTGAATTTGCAAGGTTCAAGGTATGGRTAATCGTCTTCTAAGACACGTTCCACCATGTATAACATCCCCTGGCCGCTGTTTAGTATWGAAGTGATCATACGGCCATCAGGCGACACGGAAAACTCRGGTACCGGAGAATATGTAAACACACTATCTTCGTCATAGTTTTCATCGGATAAAAGATCCCATATTTGAACAAAACCAGCTTGTAATAGCCTATTGGTACTGCCTGGAAATGTTTTCTGAGTTAAAAGGCAAGTATCGTCGTGAATACAGAAACTACAAGAGCTTACACATAACTGTTGTTGTTGTGTTGGGCCTCCATGATCCAGGCATTGCAGTACAGTAAAAGCAGGCGGGAACGACTGCCCTTTAAGCTTGAACGGCTTGTACACTGACCTAAATCCATCCTCATTCACATCCATCTAAAATGATGTAAGCCTAGTCAGCTTTAAACATGGATTTTTATGAAATATTTGTCATTGCCTTTGCTTGGAGTTTCGCATTTTAGTTCGCATTTGTTGTGCTTTTCCAGACTAGAGCCCAGTCCTTTCACCACAGGTAGCCCGTGTATCGTACATTCTTTTGTTCATTCATTCTTCCGTGAAAATATATCTGACTGAGTTCTCAAGCAATAAATCATAATAATTTACGAATACGTACGAATATTTTCTTTATTCCTACTAATGACCTAAAAAAGCGACTTGAAAACAATGCGCCCTGGCGTCATTTTAATCCAGAGCTACTCTCACGCGTTGACATCCGCTGGAGACCGCTGGATGGCAAAAGTGCGGGATTTGGGCAACCTCGTCCCCAGGGTCTCTCCGCTCGCTCTTTTTTCAAAATGGCGTCGCAGCGATGACGTCTTCGCACCCGCATTTTTGCTAAGAGCGCGCGCCGATACATCGACATAATAAAAGCGTGCGCATTCGTTCTTTTCTGTCTCTAATGCATTAGTTGGGCGGCCTATGATTGGTCGCCCTGCGCGAGCTTGCGCGAGCTTGTTTAAATGATACGTTTTCACTACTTTGGTGAGACGCAGAGTTCAAATTACTATGCCGTCAAACAAATAAAGACACAATTTTCAAAATGATAGACATCACATGTTTATATTTTAGACTTGAAAGGAAGTTCGTGTAACGCGCGCGCGGAATTCGCCAGTTATTGTATGTTGCTATGGAGTTTGTTTAGTAGAGATTGTGACGACAACGAATCAAAGAAAGGAATTTTCATCATTTGGTCTCAGATACCAGATACCTCACAAAGACCAACATATTGTAACCATTTTGTTATGAAAATGTCCCGAAAAAAGCCATTTTGTCTCCAAGATGCAAACCGTG